CCAACACAAAAAGTTAACTGCAAACTTACAAAATTAATGACAGCATGAATTATGTATTTTATGTAACAGAGTTGTTTGCTGCGCTACAAAAAACATAACTGAAGCACACGAAACTTACAGAAAAAGATTTGGGAAGCTCAGCCGCCAAATGTCATCTTTACACATCTGGTTTCCAACCGATAAGTTACCGAGGAACTGGATCCCACAACGAAGAGCTGGGCCATAGGGGATGATTTAAGAGGAAGGTCAGTATTCAAAAGAGTTGCTGAATGTATCGGATAATTTTTCAACGATCAATTTCCAGATTTTTAGACTTACGTTCAAATATGCTATCTCTGCTCTCCAGACGTGTGGTCTGAAGGAGGCTCAGGAGTTTAAAGGATATATCAATGAAACCAAGCTCCCTAGAAGAAGCGGAAAAATACATTATGTGCTTGCTGTATGTTGAGTCGCTTCCTTGCACATTTCTTTTGTCAAATAATGTGAACACAATAACATGTACACACCCTGTCTAATGCAATCTAGTAAAATTGAATTGTAATAACACCTACAATTTTGCAAAATACAGTTGAATTACTGTTCAGGCTTTGCCAAGGAGGTGTTGATTGTACTCTGCAGTCACTTTCGAGATGACAGAATTTGTTAAGTTAATACATCTGTCTCATATTCTACCATCTTTTAATTGTATTACCTGAGCAGACTTTGGTTGCGAGTGCTCTGGACACAGGCGTTCCTCTGAGCCCTGAAGCACTCAGCGGTCAGCTGCAGCTGCAGGGTGATGGATTGCAGGTCCTGATTGTCACAGCTGGCAGCCTGAAGCTCATCACACAGTCGGGACAAGACTTTCAGAAGGCTGGAGAATGCCTCCTCTTCCACAGTGTCCCTGGGAGAACAAAGTTGACCAGAAAAAAAAAAGGAAGGACAGTTACTTTACAACAGTAGTACCCAAGACTGAGGGCCAACAGGGGGAAATGTGGATTGAAACTTAAGATGAATGGGACTTTTTCCTCAGCAGACATTTAATCAGCAGGTGTAAGCAGTGTTGGGGAAAGTACGTTTAAACAGTAGTTACCAAACTACTAGCTATTTTACAATAAAAAGCAGTTAAACTACACCTAACACACTTGACACTGAATCAAGTGGTTAGGTGTGTTTGTTTTAGGGACTGGGGCAAGCCAATCCCTACCTAGGCAGCCTGAGAATGTGTTTTAAGGAGAGGCTGGGATTGTTGGGGTGGGATTAGGAAATAGGACTGCGACAGTATGAGATTTACACGGTACGACAACCCTAGAAGAAAGTATCGTTGTATTTCAAAATTATTATCACTATCAGTCAAAATGACCCTCGAAGGAATGAAAACAGAAGGGTAATTTTGGGTGAACAAATGTTTTATTACTATTATTGAAAACTGAAACCATATTTTTCTTTCATTTACAATATCATAGATAAGAAAAAGCACACAATATAATAACAAAATGCCAATTCAAAAAGCTTTATTGGCATGACATTTAACATGTGTTGCCAAAGCACAATTATAGTTTAAGACAGTGAATTCAATTAACTGCAATGAAATATAACAGGTATACAACCGGTATATTGCTGCAACCCTAAAAACCTTAGTCATAGTATTTGACTGCAGACATCTTGGTTGCAAACCAGAGGGCATTTTAGTCAAAGGGCAGATGACTAACAATAAATGACAACTGTGCCCGATGAGCTGTAGCATTATGTCATACTGAAAAGCATCATGACAACAGTGTAAGTAATTTATAATAAACTACATAAACTACATGACTCAGAGTAATTCACCACTGAAAAAGCTACTAGGTTTTGAAAGTAGGTAAACTGCCAGCCAACTACTGCAAACTGTAGTTAAATTAGTGACATGTAGTGTACTACTACTAAACACTGGGTCTAGATAATAACACTATCAACTGCGCCATCATTAGTGAGGCTAATTAGTTGCACCTGTGCTTTTCCTTGATAACTCGAAATGTCTGAAACCATAACGAGCTTGTCAGTCGTCTTTGTGAGTAACAGCGGTTAACTAATATAAATTATATTGCAGTTAATGGTTAAATAACTTTCCACCTCACTGTTTATTAGCACAGTGGTACAAAAACCTGAGTAACGGTAGCCAATGGACCCTCAACATAAACGTACGCCGGATGTTATTTGATAGTGCGCAGCGGCTAGCTTAGCCTGTAAGCTAACACCCTCCGTTTCTTTCGTAAAGGCACAAATTGACTTTGTCCGCACCTGTATTCCTTGTCCCGTAACGCGGTCGTGAATGTTTTTAAAACCTGCAAGTGTTCCGGGCAGTGTTCCTCGCTCAAAATGCCTGCGATAGACGCTGAGATGTTCATGTTGCTGTCGGTGGTAGCTGCCATGTTTGCCTGTATCTTCCCTGTGGGCGGGACTTCCGGATACTTTTCTAACACGCTATTGGTTGAATGCAGAATGAGGGCGGAGTCAGAGCATGTGCTGCTGTTTTCACTGAAGTTGTCAAGTCACTCTTGTCAGTGTTGGCCCACATAAACATTAAAAAGAAAGAACCCCTGGAAATATTATTTATTACACTCTTTCCACAAAATATTGTACTGCTATTATATGATGATCTTATACAATATGATGCATTGCTGTGGATTAAACCACCCAACAATCAAGCAGTTAAAATGAGCACAATCTTACACATATACAGCAGTAAAATGTAACATACAGTGATATTAGTCTAAAAACATCAAAAATTATCAGTGAAACGCTACATGGGAACATTTTTACTGCACCATAACTACTTTAATTTTTGATACTAGGCTATAAGTAAATGTTACTGATGATACTTAGGATACACAATTAAACCTAAATAGGGTTTAGAATGCATGACTTTTACATGCAGTAGAGTAGACTATTTTCACAGTGTGGTATAAGTAAGCTACCTTTTTACTTGAATAAAGGACCTGGATACTTCTTCCACCATTGCAGACTGCAAACAATCTCTTTGGCTGATGCCAGTTCTTTAGCATCACATCAGCTTTATAATTGCATCAGTCATCATATTTAAGCAGTTTGATAGTCTGTTGAGATGGATATTGGCTTATTCTCACAGTTTTGTAAAATATTTTGTATTTAACATGTTTTACAATGTTTAAGAAATCCGCTGAATCTCACTTTTGTCATGCTATTTTACACCCACCATTAGCCTAATATAGGATGTTTGAGGCTGTTATTTTGGCAAGTGGGCAGCTTCCACCATGTATTTTATTGAATTAGTGTACTGTGTACCTACACTTACACTCTTAGAAAACAAGGCGTTGAGGATTGAGGTTCTACCCAGAACCATTAGCAAAGTGTTCTTTGTAAGACTAAGGATTCCCTTTTCATCTTTAGAAGAAAAGATTCTTAAAGGATTGTTGAGGCATAGGTGTTAAACGATCCTCACCCTCAATTATTCAAATGTTTACCCATATTTCAAATGGTATTTTTAAATGTAAGTGTATCTGGATTCCCTTTAATTGAATAATTTGACCTGCGTTCTGCCATAGTAGATATCGTTACCATCATTTAATGCCATACAATACCACACAGTCTTTTAATTTTTTTGTTTTTGCGGGTACCCGGTACTTGGCATTTTGTATTTAGTTCTGATTTGGAACCAAGTTGCAGTTCCTAACTCTACTGCACCATTAAAATACTATGCTGTAGTAGTTCTGATTTTACAAAATCTCTATCCACTATAAACATGATTGTGAATGATAGTGGTGTGGGTTGTGCTGGACCACATCAGCCCTGGCCCTTTTGGAGCCTCTTGAAGCCCAAGGCTGCTGAACGTGGTTCCCTTGGCCCCAGACTAACCTGTAAGACTAAAACCATGATTGGTAAACATAGACTGTATAAAATCAAATAAATCCATGGTAAATCCATAGGTAATTTAGTTAATCACCATTTTAGAGCCCTCCTGTGTGGATTTTGAATAAAACCATTAGAATATAACATGGTTCTTGGTAAAACCCCTTGTTGGTTTTAGATGTATCCCTTGGGATATAATAGGGTTCCCTATTGAACCTCTGAGTGGGTTCCTGTCAGCACCCTTAGAAGGTGGAAAGGTTATGGATTGAACCCCCAGAGAGGGTTCTGGATGGAAGCATTATACCATAGAAAGGTTCTCTGTAAAACCTATTATAGGGGGCTCTGGTTAGAACCTTTCACATATGGTTCTAGGTATAACCCTTTATGTTGGGTTCTGGGTAGTACCTTCTGAAAGGGTTTCAGGTGTAACTTTTATCAAAGGTTCTATCTGGAACAAAAAGGGTTATTTTACGGGGACAAGCTGAAGAACACTATATAGTTCTAGTTGGCCACTTTGTTTCTAAGACTGTAGACGTATCTATAATATATCATCCAGTAAGTGCTCAGATATAGGTTCTACACAGTCTGTGAGCTGCAGCTGCTCTCACATCTGAAATCCATTCACCTAAAGCAAATTTTTAAGGTCATAAGATCAATTGATTGCGACCAGACAAGCTGTGGGACAGCTGCAACAGCAAAGCCACAGGACAAGCCTTTGGGATATCCATGTAGAGTGGCGAATTTTAGATTACAGGATTTTCTTCCGTCTGGTTGTCCCCTGTGTTTTCACTGGCCAGGCACAGCACAGCAGTGGTGAAAGGCAGATCAATGCGGAAGAGAGTTGATTATGGATGGTGAGAAGTATCCACCTCAAGCAATTTGTCCACTTTAAGATGGGGTATCCGAAGATCCAAACATTCCCAGTAAAGGATTCCCATTATTCATTCCTCTGAGTGGAATAACTGGAAATATCCTCACAAAGTGGAAGTGGTACATTTTGATGGGGATTCTGGAGCATTGGGTTACAGGAAAAACAGGACATCCTATCAGATTTTAGTTATTCTGGAAACCTCAGTTATGTTAACTAGAGGACGGTTGGTTTAGTCTGCAGTGGTAGAGGAACAAGCTATTTTCAGTAAAAAACATGAGCACAATTAACCGCACAGTCTTTATTATTCACAGATGGTTGCACACTCTGTTGGTACAAAACACAATCAATGCTGAAAGCAAGTCCATAGATGAAGCGTTTTGTTATCAAATGAAGCGTGAGGCATCAAACATCAAAAAAGTTCCAGGTTGACCAACAGTTTATCAATGTGGCAATCACGACAACAAAGTCTAGATTTAAGGTAAACACAGTAGACAGTAGCCTAGTTAAGGAGATGACAGCACCCTGCTAGTCTGTTACATTATTTTATTACACTCTTGTAAAAGGAATGTAATTTTTCAACAGATCTGGGGTAGAGGCATCAAGTGAGAAATTAGTATTTGTATAACATTACATTTTTACAATGTTGGTTGGTTGGTCGGTCCAACATCACTGACATAACTAATAACCTAACAACTTTGAAGATCCCCTGACTTCATATCTACAGCCACCATCAGGTCAAAATTTCAGTTTGTCCAATACTTTGGTTAATGACCAAACACAGATGACATTTCCATCAGCCTCAGTTGTACATTGTGCTTAGTTCTAGTTAGCAAATGTTAGCATGCTAACAGACTAAACAGAGGGGGTTAACATGGTGTATACCTGCTAGACATCAGCATGTCAACATCATAATTGTGAGAGTGTGTCTATGTTCCACAGGTCCTATGTTCCCCAGTGTGTTCATGCCACTTTCTTGTCCATCTCTGTCCCTTGAAATAGGCTAGCTTTGGTTTACTCTCTGTATCAATACATAAGAAGGCGAAGAGCCATAAAGAAGTTAAAATCTAAGATTAAAATTGGCAAGTATGATTGCGTGTGAAGGTTTTGGACCCCTTTCCAAGTCTTTTCTCCTAACTTTAACCTGTTTGGAGATGGGAGTAGTCAGTCGTTATGAGTATTTTACCTTAACCTGACCTTTGACGTCTTGCCTCACCTTGACCTGCTAAAAAATCGGAATTAAACCTGGCCCTACACTTCTTTTCTATCCCTTAGTTAGCCCTTGTTTAATTCCTTAACTGGTTAGTTCCTTTTCTTTTCAATTCATTCATTCTTGTATTAGTTTTTCAGTTTCTAGGGTGGTAATTTAATTTGGAACTGTTTTCCGAACACAGAGAGAGCAACTATATTTAGATAAAGACCTTTGCCAGTGCAATTCCATCACTCTCAGAGACATGATTTTACTCCCCTAATGTAACCCATGTGATATTAAACGAATACAGAGTTGGGGAACATCTTTCCCAGGTTTCCATTACATGCTATAGACAGAGAGCTTGGGAATGCAGAACCTCAGGAACATAGGACCCTAGGTGAGTACATATGTAGAACTGGGGAACAGAGGAATGACCCCTGCAAGCATGTTAGCATACTCAAGTTAGCATTAGCTCAAAACACTGCTTTGACTGTACATTCTTAGTAGTCCAGTAGCTTTTAACAATGGGTTCTTGTTTAATCAGTGTATATTGTGTTGAAATTATAAAGACCTATTGTAAATGAATGAACTGGATGGTTTGCAAACTGTTTCTGTAGTTTTCAGTGCATCTAAAACCCTTGCATATGAGTAAATCCAATGGTTTTTTATCTTATTTATCTTACCTCACATGTAAAACATTAGCATCTGAGGTGTTTTTAAATGATGAAAACACTGAATGAAAGTGTGATGCCTCCAGATATATTTGCAAGTTATAAATTATGTGCTGTATTGCAAATGCAGTGCTGTTCACTCTTAAGCTGAGCTCAGAACCAGAACTCAGAGATGAAGACATGGATGATGACAATATTGCGATGGGAAATGATCCCTGACTTGACATAGTTCATAGCCACCTCCAAGACAAGGTCCCTGGGGCCAATGATTGGCTTTATCTGCCGAACCACACCTGAGGGATGACACAAATTTGGATTAGTGACAGAAATTCAGCTTTGGAAAAGATATGCGTAAATGTAACATCTGTATATAGAGCACAAGGACAGGTATTGTGCATGTCTGGGTCAAAAACTGAGTTCACTTTAGTATCTGTTTATCACAAGTAACATTACTGCGATATTCAACAATGTTTTGGCATATTTTCCTCCTACGATGCACGTGCTATTTAAACAAGGATTTGATAAAAGATTGACTGCGTGGTTTCAAGTGATGCTCTCTCCTCTTACCCATAATCATGCCCTGGTGAGAGCGCTTCTCCACGTCAAAGGAGAACTGGTCATCTGCAGATAGGATGTCAAAGAAAACATCGGTGGCACCGGGCAGAGGAGCAGGGTTAGTCGCCGCAAGTGTCCGCAGGAAAACTATTTCTGTTGGAAGAATTGGTTTAAAGTTTGTATTAGTCTGAGGGAAGAAAACCACAGAGTGCGCTCGGTTCTTCAAATCAGATATTTATGATATGATTAAACAATTGTTCTGTGGGTTGACAGAAGTAATTGAATCTTATGTGCTGTGGCAGGTTGGTGGGCGGAAAGTTGTATTTCAATGAGGCTGCAAATAATTTTAGACTTTGCTATTACAAGCTACTGAGTTAACTCTATCAGCTCCAGAACAGATCCTACTTGTGTTAAACAGCCTCTTCAAATCTCTTATCACCTTCACATGTGAATTTATTGCACATTTTCCCTTTCAAAATAATCAGGACTATCTGAAAATGAAGACTATTTTATGTAAAAAAAAATTACATTAAATATTTGAATTTAGTTTCATCTGGAAATCTTTGATGCAAAACGATTTTAATGGAATTATGAAATACATGTCAGATATGAGGGCAGCATGCTGGTGTGGTGGTTAACACTGTTGCCTCACAGCAAGAGGGTTCCTGGTTCAATCCCAGGAGGTAGCCCTTCTGTGTGGAGTTTTCTCTGGGTACTCCGGCTTCCTCCCACAGTCCAAAGACATGCAGGTTAATGAAATGGTGACTCTGGCCGTAGGTGTGAATGTGAGTGTGAATGATTGTCTGTCTCTATGTGTTAGCCCTGCGAAAGTCTGGCGACCTGAAAATGGATGGATGGATGGATGTCAAATATGACAGCTTATTACAGAAACTAATCCAACTAACCAGCGGAATCTGTGAGGTTTTTGGTGTAACTCATTATGGCTTTACAGCAGCCTCACAACTATTAAAACAGGCAAAAATTAATTAAGTGCAACAAGGAACATTTGCTCAAGGTACCTTTACTGGATTAGTATAACCAATAAAACGCTCTTTCCCATTAAAGGTCCAAAGAGTCCAAGAGTTTCTTGGGCAGAGGAGAAAATGGTGGGAACACAAAGAGGTCAGAGAAATATCCTCCAAACACTGAACAGTGAGTAAATGAAATGCAACAAATGAGACTGTGCAGGGAAATATTTGTGGTTGATCTCATTAGGGATACACACACATTTCCCGCCCAACAAAATAATGCTATAAGACCAGAGATAAAATGATCATAATGCTAAGTTATTTGAAAAACTGAAAAAATGCAATAGTGCAGCTGTGATGACTTGAGACTTCCATTAGCACAGTAACACTTTCACAGTCAGCAGTTCATTTCATTGCCACTGGGTGTCCACAGCTTGCAGGCTCACAAAAGGGTGTATCTGTGACAACCAATCACATCTGTTAAAAGAATGAGTCATACCTGGCAACAGGGTCAATCACACCACCTCACTAAAGTAAAGGTTTGTCTCTTCCTTGCCCAGAGTTGCTCTAAGAACTTTCCTAAATCACTCCTTACTAAAAATTTTCAGGCTAAGTTAGGAGCTCTCTGAGAGTATTCTCTAAATGTTTGTGAATACAGCCCCTGGATCTTAAGTTACCAGAGAAAAAAGAAGAGGTCAGATCAGCAAGTGCTGGGCTAGCAGCCTGTCTCCGACATGCCAAACAGCATCAAAGAAACTCTGATTTGTATCTTGAAACTGCTTTATTCAGTGTTTTTACGACTTTAAATCACTAGGTCCATTTGTTTTGGAGAGAAAGAGACCTCTGTGGATAATTCAGCTCATGGTTAAAGCCTGCTGAACATCTGGATCAAAAATAAGGTAAGGACACACTGAGATATCAGGGAAAATAGGTAAGTTGGGCGAGTGAGCCATCTGCAATGTGCCAAAACGCACAGGAGAAACACTGATTTGTATTGTGAAACTGCTTTAATTAGTGTTTTCATCAGTTTAAATCACTTGATCTGTTTGTTTTGGAGAGGAAGAGACCTCTGCAGATAATTCTGCTCTCACTAAAAAAATGCCTAAACAATGAATACCGTAGGAATTCTGACCGGGAGAAGTTTTGGCTGGTTGCAATTAGCAATCCTCACCACTAGATGTCACTAAATCCCCCTAAATTTTACTCACTGGATCTTTAAGGACAATGGGAATCAACCTAAATCCAGCAGGACTAATATGGTTTAATCATGTGACACAGACGACCACAACATCTTCACACCTGCATCATAGCAGCACATGCACATTATCACATATAATGTTGAATGCATCTTGCGAAGGCCATCTGCATGCATAGTTAGAGCTTACTGTACTACTACTTCTAGCTTTTCTTACCCTCTGGTTCATGGAAGTCTCTGAAGGTTGGCAGAGAGAGGGAGGTGTGGGTGATGAGGTGGACGGGGTCGAGATTGCAGCCAATGTCGTTTGGTTGGCAGGCCTTAATGCAGCGCGCATTGACTGAAGCATCTCTCCTGAATCTGAAAAAAGGACAAACAGTGGTGATGGAAAGGAGGCAAGATGGAGGGACTGAAGGAAAAGGGAGATTTATATATCTGCCAAGGACATCACAAGGAGAAGTGTGAATTTCTCACATTCTTAACCTATACAGTACACAACAGTATTCATAAGAAAAAGCTTTAACCACAGCTCCACAGTTGAGTTGAGTGAGAAGAACCTGGCAACACCTGAATAGCCCCATAGACCTCCATGGTTAACCAAGGAACGGGTGCCTTGAAGGGGGCCAAACCCTGATTCCACAACCTAAAATCATGTTCGTGGGGCTCCTCGACGTGAAGACAGTAGTGCTTTCAAATGTGACCTCAAAAACTGCAAAGGGAGCAGAGCCGTGTAATTAGCAGCAAGCAGGTGAGTCCAAGTTGTTCGCTAAGCATGAGGCCAAAGCCACAGAGATGATTGTGTGGTATTTTACAGCAGGGGAAATGCCACACGAAGGAAAAACGGGATGGTAGAAAAACCAGGCGAGAATACGAAAGAATGAATATCATTTGATGTGATCAGTGACATCATGTACACGTCGTAAATGAAAAAAAAAATCACAGTTTTGACAGAATCAGCAGCAGAATCAGCATAAATGTTTTTCCAAAGGACTATACACTATCTCACCAAAATATAGATACTATTATTAGTGCATACAGTATTTCACTATTTTTACATATTTGAAATAATTAAGTTAGCATTTTGGAAAGTAGGTGGTTATATGGTCAAAAGATTTAAGAGGACTTTGTGTATTTCATATCTTTGCATTTTCAATCTGCTCTATATGCATTAAACCCCAGAAACCACCAGTAGGAAAGTGGAACGGTGGAAAATTTGTCTGGCTGCATTTATCCAGCTGACCAGCACAGCTACTGGCCTTTTGGTATCATTTACAGCAAATCAACTGATAACCACCCAATACCAACACTAAAAGCACCATCCATCATACGAGCTGTAATGCTGCTCCACCACTAATTGAGCCCCCACGCTGGCCGAGCCCCAGGTGCCCATAAATAAGTGCCACGCTTATTTTTCTTGCTATCCGCTACGGCAAGACTCGTTTGATCCTATGGTGAGGCCGCTTGGAACAGATCACTGGAAACATTGCTTTCAACATTACAAATGACCACAGCGGAGGAAGCACGAGAGTGGTGGCAGAAAACCATTGCCGGTGTGTGTATGTGTGTGTGAGTGTGTGTGTGTGTGTTTCTGCTTAAATATTAAAAGAGACATTTTTATCTGTCATTTTTTTTATTCCAAAGACAAAGAAAGTACACATAAAGGGAAGCTGCCACACAGACATGAGGTTGAATGAGCTGCAATCAATGCAAATAAGCCGCATGAACAACTCTGTCATGGTGTTGTAGGGACCCTCAACAGCTAATGGGCCCCATCTAGTGGTATTATGTGCTAATACACTTAATATCTACTGCTACAGCATAAACTAGAATAAATAATATGTAAAAAAAAAAAAAAGAAAGAAAGAAAAAAAAGGCTTTTAAGGTTAAAACAGCTGAAAACAAGGTATTGCTTTGAAGACAGGCATCTCTAAAACCACATTACCAATACAAATGCAATTCTATTCGCAATTCTGGCTTGTTGCTTTGACAACCAATCATACACTGTAAAATTAATTGTTTTACACAAAAGGAATTGTTTTTTGTTGTTGTTCTTTTTTTTTGGGGGGGGGGGGGGGGGGGTATACCTACTCACTTTCTTGCTGAGAGATAGATGAAATATGGTAAATATGAAGCTCCAGCAGCCAGTTAGCTTAGCTTAGCATAAACACCCCAAACAGCTAGCTTAGCTCTGCCCAAAGGTAACAAAACCGGCCTACCCGCACCTGTAAATCTCACTAACTCTGTATCTCCTTTGCTAGAGTTTTGTGTTGGACTATTTCTAAGCTAGGTGCAGTGACAAAGCCAGGCTAGCTATGTCCTTGTTTCTGAGCTTTATGCTAAATCAAGCTAACCGGCTGCTAGCTGTGGCTTCATTTTTAGCACACAGAGGAGAATTAAGATATAGCCTAAATGTTAGATACTTTTTTTTTTTCAAATAACCACTCAAATTCAATAGGCTTCTGTAGCATTATTTTAGTTTGGCTCAATTATGGTGTTGCCCCTTGTTAACTGTAGAGTGGTGCAGGAATGAGTCCTAAAACCTAGCAATTAATTAGCATTTTAGCACTCCCAGCTCCTTCGTCTTAAAGTCAATGGATGTCTTGGATGGGTTTTTGCTTAGATGCCTGAAATAAGGTCTGTGGTGAATACAAAGCTTAAGAGACTAACATGTTTTGCGGCATAAAATACATCAGTAAATACCCCACTCCTAAAATTTGAAGCCTTTGCATGTCTTAAAAAAGTGCTCACAAGTGGCTAAATGAGACAGACCACATCATCATGCCAAAAACATCTGCCTTGTTGCGGTGGTGACGTTTAAGTCATGCGACCGCGATGTAGTACGTTTATAGCTTAACGTTACCTATTTACGTCGGGCAATTGCATATATGCTTCAAAAATCGTAAATGCTGTGTTCATTTGTGAAGTTTATTTTCTGCAATAATCCAAAATCCAATGGAAAAGTCCCACTAGATTTTTGTTGAGGGAACCAGGGTGACGCTAACTTCCTTGTTGGCCTACAAATAAACGTCATTCCTGCAGCACTCTATTAGTAGTAAGGATAGATGTAAATGTAGTAGAGGGAAGGCTGGAGCTGTGATTCCTGTATAAAAAAGGGTGGCTCAAATTGGAAACCACATAGGCTACAGGACTGGGGAGGACTAAATAACAATAGACTTAAAACAAATACTGTACATTTCACAGCCTTCTAATATGGAAATGTGACAAACACAGCGATCTTGGCCATGTACAGATGTGCCTTTCCATAGCGAATCAGCTTCATCTCTACGGTCAGGAAAAAGTCCCGGGGTTGGGATAAGGTTCGGCGCAGTGAAATCTCTCCTCCATGAGCATGTTGTGTCATGCCGAAGTATCCCTCCTCGTCACCGGAGACTATGCTGATCAGTATTTTGTCTCCTGCCACGGAATTGGAGGGCCCCATCCGGAAAACATCAGCGGGGACGGGAGTGTTGGTGGGGAAGCTGATGTTGTAGAAGGAGATTCTCAGCGGGAACGAGAAACACGACGCAGGATCCCGCGTGAACTCGCAAGTTACGCGCTCGCAATGACTGAAAGGGAAAAAATGAAATGCGCATTGGACCGAGGGCAGAGACTGCTGCATACATGTGTAGAAAAAGAGGTAAAGGACAGAGAGAGGCATAATGGACGTAAGCTTGAAGGTGAGAATGGAATTTGTGACCGAAAACTGCAGGCAAATGTCAACAGCAGGCCAGAACAGAACAAGCACATCAAAGACAATAAGTAAAGTAAGAAAAAGGGTGTAAAAAAGAAATAAGGAGTCTTAATACTACACTACAGCTGAGTAAGATGCATTCATGCTCAGGTGGAAACAATCAACCCTTTCATTTCAGCCAGTTCTCACCCCTGGGCTGCTTGCCGAAAGTTTGGAGGACACCTGAAGGACAGACAACGAAATCCACCCTGGATGTTGAAGCAGCTTTCAGACACAGAACAAGTATGGCTCCCCGCTGCACATTCATCAATGTCTGGAAACACAGGGGGATGCAAAGGTTAGACATTTAATAAAAGTACAAATCCGTTTTGACTGACAAAGGTTAGCAAAGGTTTGTCTACTGACCTTGGCATGTGCGTCCATTGTGTGCGAGGGTGTAGCCTGTCGGTGGGCACGTGCAGTAAAAACTTCCTGGGGAGTTGGAGCAGCGGTAGGAACACACATGACCTCCAGTAGGCAGAGCGCACTCATCAATATCTGCAAGTGGGAAAGAGTAAAAGCCAGTTGGTATGTGACCACCTACAAGTTGGTTTGATACACCACTTAAATCGCGTTTAAACAACTCGGAAGTTGAAAGTTTCGGACTTCCTACCAGGAAAAGTCCAATGAAACACCACTTAAAGTCAGAGTTCCTACTTTTAAAATCACCAATGGTAGCAACCATGGAAGTGCACATAATATACCATTAACTAAAAGACAACCTGAAGTATATTTGCCTGTAATAAATTAAAGGATCTGTTAGATACGATTTCAAATATAAAAGTGTTTACATTTGGCATCTTGCACCTGAATGCCTGAACGTCAAGTTGGAAATTTCAGCTGGGAAATTCCAACCCTTGACTTTGACTGGTATGCAGCATATCACCATAAAGGCCAACAGTACCTTCACACGTTATCCCATCGATGTCACTCAGCTGGTAACCACGGCGACAGTAGCACTGGTAGGAGCCGTAGACATTTGCACACTCCTGGCTGCAAGGGTTGGCTTCACACTCATTGACATCTGTTGACATACAGGCAGATAGAGACCTCAAAATGTGTCATATATGGGTTCAAAAAGATCAAGTCTTTGACACAGTTTGGGTTGTAAGGTACAACTGAGATATTGTATATCTATGGAAACCCATTTCAATCAGTGTAAAAAAAACTGTCTTACTTCTCAAAATAATTACGAAGTATCTCAAAGTAATGACTTATCTGAAGAGAATGAGGTACTTTCTTAAAATAATGACTTATCTCAAAATAATGACTACTTTAAAGTATTGACCTCAAAATAATTACTTTCTATCTCAAAATATTGACCTTATCATCCTGAAAGAATGTGGTAGGATATCAAAATTATGAGATACTTTACAAACATAAGTATCTCAAAATAAAGCGACGGTTTCTCCAAATAATAACTTACTTTAAATTATGACTTAGTTTCTCAAATAAATTACCTAATTATATAAAAAATAATGAATTATTTTTTAATATAATGAGATACTTTCTCAAAATTATGACTTAGTATCTCAAAATAAAGGAGTTCACAAAATAATTATTAATAATAATTATAATATATTATAATTATTATAATATATTATAGATCTTATTATTATTAACAATAATTATTATAATTATTATAATATAATATATATAATATTGTTATAAAAATATACTTAGAAAATACTTAGTATCTTAAAATAAAAAGAAGATTTCTCAAAATAATGAATTAGTATCTCAAAATAAAGAGGAGTTTACAAAATAATGAGATGTGTACTTTAAAAAAATGAGTTAGTATCTCAAAATAGAGAAAAGATTTCTTAAAATAATGAGATACTAGCTCAAAATGGTGACATACTATTTTAAAAATAATGACTAGTATCCTAACATAATCAGATACTTTCTCAGAATAATGTGTTAGTATCTCAATATAAGAAGCTTTCCCAAAATAATTAGACACTTTTTTTAAAAAATAGTTAATTAGTTTCTCAAAATAAAGAGACATTTTTTTTTCAAAATATTGACTTCATATGGCAAAATAATGAAAAACAAAACTATTATTTTGAGATACTAAGCCAATGCTTAAGCTAGGTGAGTCATTATTTTTGAGAAATAATCTCAGTATTTCAAGATAAGTCATTATTTTGAGACACTAACTCATTATTTAGATATATTTTCTCATTATAATGACTGACAGGGTTTTTTTTTCATCACACTGGCAGAAATGGGTTTCCATATATATTTATAACATAAGGCTTAACGAATTGGTGAAATGAGGAGTGATTTTACCTTCACAGTTTCTGCCATCATGGGACAGTCTAAAGCCAGTGGTGCAGCTGCACTGGTAGGACCCTTCTGTGTTGTCACACTTGTGGGCACAGAGTCGTCCAGGATAATGCCTGCACTCATTGATATCTAAGGAACACGGGACAGACGATGAATCTGAGAGTCCAAATCTACTAGTTCCACTTCACACTTGTCCTGTGCCACTTCTTCCCTTAAAATACGTTCTTTCATAGCTGATATGCATAAAATATTACAATTGAAACAAAAATATAGTGATGAATGTGTACAGCACCTTCACACAGTCTGGTGATACTGTTGAAGATGAAGCCAGTTCTGCATTCACAGCGGTAAGAGCCCACCAGGTTGACACAACCGTGGCTGCCACATACATTTCCTGTTCGACACTCATCCACATCTGTAACATGAGGGGGAGGCATCACATATCTTTAATTGAAAAGGGGAATTAAAGTGAAAAACACAATATTGAAGACTTTACAAACAGTAAAGTCATTTATTATGACAGTATCTACCTTCACAACGTGTGCCGTCCTCAGTTAGATGATAGCCACGTCCACAGGTGACCGTGTTCCTGCGACAAGTGTAGGAGCCCACTGTGTTGATACAAGTATAGCCGGGCAGGCATGGACCAGCATGGGCCAAACACTCGTTTACATCTAGTGAGAGAACACATTTAGCCAACCTCACCTTTTACCTGTGAATTATTCATACCTGATTGTGACACTGAACTCACCAATACAGCTGCCGATGGCGTCCTGAATGAAACCATCTGAACAGCTCTCCTTTGGGTGGCAACGAAACGAGCCTGCTGTGTTGGTGCACATAAAGTCTGGTCCACAGTTATGGCTCCCTAACGTGCACTCGTCTATGTCTGGAACAGGCAAGGAGGAAAAAATGATTGAAGCATAAATAAAGTCTGCATAAATATTTTTCTTGCATGAAATACTGTAAAAAATATGACATGTCTTGGTTATTTATACGTCTTGGAGTCAGGTAACTAAAATTGTAGAATCAGAAAGGATTTTTTTTTGGCTTGTTACCTTGGCAACTGTTGTCCTCTTTGAGTTCATACCCGGTGCCACAGCTGGTTTCCCTCTGACAGCGAAAGGAACCCTCTGTGTTGATGCAAACTTGGCCAAAGATGCAGTTGTGACTGCCAGTCAGACACTCATTGACATCTGAGGGGAGAGACATACACTCAGTGGCCAGTGGTCAGTGATGTCACATTTTTGACTACAGCCACTTAGATACTCAGGTGCAGCAGTGCTATGAGTTAAAGAGGTTCTATGTTCCCCAGCTCAATATTCTCCTCATATGACACATTAAGGAGACCTTTCAAAGGGTTTTATGATCTCAGCAGTGGTTTTTCAATAGGTCAGATGTTCAGTGTATGTCTCCCTGGATCAATATATTGAAATCACCCACCTACAGCTTATAGCCTACTGAATCCGATGCCCTTAAATTTGGGGGCAACACCGTTTTCTTGACTTTAGGCATTGATATCACTACAGTGGCTGAACAGATTTTTATAATTCAAACTGCATTTGAAATGTCCATAACCCTTCGTTATTTTGCACTTTGAACTGCGAAGCTAACCTTTACCAATCTCTTGCTATAGTAGTTTATATCAAAATACATCGGACCCTGGAAACAGATACGACCCCAATGAGGATACTTATAGCTCATGTTCACCATGTTAGTTTAGCGTGTTAGCATGCTAAGATTTGCTAATTAGCACAGCGGCTGATGGAAATGACATTTGTTTTGCAGGTATTTCGGAATAAACTTAAGTATTAAATAAATACAATTTTGAAATAATCACTGATACCCCTTTCCCACCAACTTCCTTTCAGGATTCTTGGAACCTTGGTGCTATCCAGAGCAGTGGTTCCCAACCTTTTGCTTGAGGGACCCATATTTTTACCATTGTAGACTTTGGTGCACCCCCAACACGTTATACACGCCCATATCCTTGCGATACATAGTTAAAAATGTTTCCATACTAAGTTTTTTTTAATATGTGAATAATCCTTTAATATAACCCTTTAATTTTTTTGTTTTTGACACATAAATGAATTAAAATTTTGATAGATAACATATTAAAATCATTACACCCCTTAAAATCAAGAGGGCTTTGCAACCCCCACTTGTGGCTCTTTGGCGCCCAACTAATGATCAACTAATAATGAGACCACTGCATTAGATATATACCGTAAAACTTCAATTAAAAGCTTAGTCCCAATTAAACGCCCAGTCCTTTTACTAGCCCAGTGTGGCTACACATTTTGACAAATAAAGGCCTGTCTCAATTAGAGGCCTGGTCTGGCTGCCAAGCAGTTCATTTTTTTCATGGAAGTTCTTCAGATGTATAAACTTGGGTAGTTTGCTACCTCTAATTATGTGTCCATTCCTCGATTACCCTGTAAGTTATTCATATTCCTTTAGTCCGCAAAGGTCCTCAGATCAAAAGAGTCAAAAGGGTTTTTCATAAAAGTTAATCCAAGTTGTGAAAATTGTTTTAACAGGATAAAGTGGTGTTGTGTCAATGTGCCGGGTGCCAAAATCCTCGAGTGCCGTAACTTCTGATGGGCTGTCTGTCGGAGCTAGATCAAATTAATGATTCATAATAATAGATCTGAAGCCTAATTTTCACATGAGTAATATGGGTTTAAATAAACAATTTCATTTTAATTCCTGATCTATGCTGTTTTGTGTAAGAGGAATCAAAGGCCTGTCCCAAATATAGGCCTATTGATTTCAGTGATTTAAGCAAAGAATAGCCTGGGCTATTAATGGAAGATCTGCAAAATTTTTTGGTTCTATCTGGGAACCAACTTTTTGGGTTATGAACCAACTTATCTTTGGTTGAAATACTCCCAAAGCTTCAAAATTAGGTGCAAGGACTGGAACAGAACCAGTTCTGTGTTGATGGAAAAGGGGTACAAGTGATTACAATTCATCCTGAAGAGGTACTATGGATTTCTGCAGATATTTCAGTCTGGACCAAGCTCCCTAGAAAGTCATGCTGCTTAGAAGGGTGAAAAATCCTGTGTTTATGAAGTAAGTAATTTAAGTCATTTATTTTACGTTACTTACCCTGACAATTAACTCCATCCGTTTGCAGCTGATAACCATCACGGCACACACATGTACCATTACCCTCACACAACTGGGAACACCTGGAGTCTGAAAACAGCAGAGAGACACTTGAAGAAGTAGTCATCACAGTGTACAGCCGGTGTGTCCTACATCACAGGAATCATGTCACTGGCTGATAGAGGACAAATCTGCCAAGAGTCTAGCCCTTAAGCTTCTTACAGCTCTCGATATAACAAAGGAGATCACATGAAGGAATGAAGGTGCCAAACCTCTACAGGGGTCCGATCCCTCTGGGGGCTTGGCAGTAACGTTGGTCTCAGGCTTTTCTGTCACTGGTTCAATGGGAGAAAAAGCCTCATTAAAACCAAATATGACTCTTTTTTTTGATAATAAAGACAACCAAAGTCCCTGAATAACTAAGGAGCACAGGGTCAAACTCCACTGGCATGCTCTCATTACTCTGGCCTTGGCTTTATATCAGCGAAACACTGATTTGCTTTTCTTTGCAAATAAATGGAGTGTTTTTGCAGCTCTGTCCCTCCAACGTGCCTGCATTTTTCACCTGAAGCCAGCTAGGCAACAAAAGCTACAACACCAATTGGCCCTGAGTTACCATTTGTCAAGGTGTCTACAGATTAGCCTTGTGAATACCAGTGACCCAGGCTGTCTGCTTCTCTGTCTGTCTGTCTGTCTGGCACAAATGTGCCCTACAGCTGCCGCATCAAAGCTGTTTATCCAGTTTATGAAAACGAAGCCACTGTCTTTGCTTAAGGTAATGCTGCCTGTTTTGATGTGATGAACTCGTGCTGAAAATTGGTATCATGATTTGTTCCCAGTACTATGAAATGTATGAACCCCTTTTTGACAAGGTAGCCTTTATAGTAATTTATCTTACTATATAATGACGAAAACTCTGTCTGTGTGTGTGTGTGTCTGTTCCACGTTTTTCTCCTCACTGACTTGGTCAATCCATATGAAATTTGGCACAGTGGTAGAGGGTCATGGGAGGATGTGAATGAAGCAATATTACATCAACTGGCCAAAGGGGGGGCGCTATAGCAACCGATTGACATTGCAAACTTTGAATGGGCATATCTCATGCCCCATTTTGAATTTTTTGAAAAACACTTAAAATCTTCCTAGGAAGTTTGACCGATCTGCATGTAACTGGGTGAACATAATCTAGGGACCAATATCTAAAGTTCCCTCTTGGCAAAAGTTGGAAAACTTACTAAAACTGAGCTTCTATAAGGCAATGAATATTGCGGAGGGTGTGGCTCATCACATAAAGGTGTATAACATCTCAAGGGTTTCACCGATCACCACACAACTTTGTAGGCATATGACCACACATAATCTGAGGGGACCCCTCCATTATTGACCCCATCAAACAAAATGGGGGCGCTAGAGAGCTAAGTTCTTATCCAGGCCTAACCGCCATATCGATTTTTACTAAACTTGGTAGATATGTAGAACAGGACGCCTCAAGGTGACTGGAGAAATTTAACTGTAATTGGCAACTAGGTGGCACAATCAATCGCTGTGGCTCCCGCCGAATGTTGGTGTTTTTTTTTTCTAATTTTTGGTATGACTAAGTCATGGTATGGTATGCTGTACATAATCCCGGAAACTGTCAGTGTGTCATTCTGTCAGTCAGTCAGTCATTCTACCAGTGCGCCCCACTTTTAAGTCAATACAACATATAAACACTTTAACTATCTGCCTTTCAACGTGCTACCTCAACTACTAATGTACAGTTTTAGCCCACTAACTATCCCACTATTGGCAATGGTACTACTGTACTTTCAATAAAGCAATCGTACTATCAAATTCACAAAAACTCTGTCTGAATACATTGCTCTTGCATTGCTTGGGTTCAGTTGACTATTTAATCTGCAATTTCCTATGACCTGTATCCCAAACACACACCATGTGGAACTGTACGTGGGCAACTGTACACTCAATAGGTATGGACTAGTTCTACGTTAATTATGCAATATCAGCTATTTTTACACATCAAAATGTATTACAGGCAGTGCTGTAGTCAAGACCACCTAAACCATGACCAAGTGTATCGAGACCAAGACAAGACCAGCGCGAGTCCAACGCTGTATGACACATCATTCCCATAAAACACTCACAGAAAACAAATGTAGATTTGTCATCATTCACTTCTTTTATGCTGTATATACGGTGTATGTGTGTATGTATAAGTGTTCCATAAGAAATGCCTTGATAAAATAATTAAAAGACATCTAAGAGGTGAATTTTATGTGTGGGAACTTTCCTTTGTTGTCACTGAGAAAACAAATACAAATACTAATGAGCTGAAATCAACTACATCTGTATTCAACACTCCTTTTTTACAGGCAGTAAGTTTAGTGATGTTCCTGCAGTCGTGGTCTTGATCGCTGAGTTCTCTTTCTCTGTAACCCAGACCAAGATTGTGCAAAAACGTGGTCGAGTACAGGACAAGACATTCGAAAAGAGGTCACAAGACCAAGACCAAAATCTGGTGGCGTACCCACTACTTGCATAGCACATCCGAATAACCGACTGAACTGTCAGTGGGTGAGATGCACTGTAGGTAATGTAGGCCCAAGGTTTTTACAAGGAAGAAAAAGGCGTGTAATTAAAAATGTACTTATCAATTTGCGTCCCTTTTTTAAACTACCCATCCTGATTCAGCAAATATCATAGGAATGCAATCCTAAATTGGTCGAGTACTACTTTAACAAGGACAGAATCTTGGGTTGCCAGGTTGTGAAAAATTTCTTTAGCTTGTCCTTAGTCTCTCCACATTGTAAAACTGCATTTATAACTGTTGGTAATCTGCTGGCAATTGGTCATAGGTTCATCAATTTCTAAAAAGCCATCAAGTCTGCAGTTGTACGTGTTAATAAGAGGATGCTAATTGGTTTTTGGTCCAGATCATCTGCAGCCCTTATCCAGAAATAAAAGATCCAACAATGACATGAGCTTTTACAAACTGGCAACCAAAAAGTTGATCTCATCTATGGATTATAATTGATCTATAGAGCATTAGAAAACTTTATTACCCTTGATAAAAACTTTTTAGAAAGTGGCACCGAATCATGCTCTAAGCCAATTAGCACCTAATGTGTGCAAATGTATACTGATTGTTTTGAGTGTCGCTGACAGCGTTTGGTTTTTCTTCCATGATAAGACAGAGTGGAGTTAATCAAGACACAAAAGACTGAAAGCACAAGACTGTTAATCTCTGTTACCGTTTGGTTCTGTTTCCTCTGTTGTGTTTCTGCCACAGCAGCTTTGAGCTGTGTGCGTGCATTGTCTCCCCAGCAACAAACCCTGGAGCTCACAGCCGGAAGCCTGGCTTGCTGTCATCAGGCCGAGCATGCAGCAGTCACAACACATCTGAACGGGAGACAGAGAGGGTAAAACAGGAAGACAGAATCCCAGTGTGCATTGATTTATAAAGGGCTAAGTGTCTGTGTGGAGCAAGGACATGTGTAAAGGTTGCAGATATTGACATCAGGAGAGGAGCACAACCTTAGAGATTTTTGTTTCCCAAGGGTCTCCTTGGAAGAAGGGCCTCTCACAGGCCCCCTGCCCCTTGGCCATCTTGATGCCATTGTCACAGAGTTGGTCTCCTACTGCGGCTGCACAGCACTGCTCCTGGGCGATCCTGCAAATAAACAGCAGAACTTTACTTCACCTAGAACAGAATCTTTGCTCGGTGGGGAAAGAGCTGGATAAGAGACGTGGAGAAATGCTTGTTATTTACGTTAGATACAATCAGCTGACTGTGGGTGGATTTGTGGTGTAATATGCTGCATATTTACTTCCAACAATAAGTAACCTATCTTAGTTTAAATGCCACTGTAACTGTCAGACGCTACTTTAAAACTTTTGAATCTATTCTGTTTATAAAAAGTCTCTCTCTCCCTGGCTTCCCTCTGCAAATGTTCCCTCCGCTGACCTCCATGTGTTGACCAGGTGTTCCTCTATTTCATCAATCACCACCTCCACGTTCTTACAGTCAAACGGGCCCTTTAGTGTTAAAAATGCTCCAGGGGGCCACTTAACGCCTGTACTTACTGCGTAGCTACTCCCCTGTAGCAGGATGAATGGTTGAGGGCTGGGGAGATGATTTGGGACTTGCTACCCCGGGGGTATTTCCTGCTTTTAAACATACCGTCACAAACTCTAAACACATTTCCTACTGTAAAATCCCACACCATCATTTGAAGATTGTTTCTAATGTGACACATATTTAGATCCCCAATGACGCTGATCACCAAAAGCAAAGTTTTCATAGATAAACACAGCAACCATCATGCATTCCCTCTGTGCTGACCCTCCCGTGGTCCCTGTGCCACATTTTCAGACCCTCTCCTTTGAGAAACCAGGTGTTGCCTACCTGCAGGTGTGGGAGGAGGAGATGAGGGGGAGGATTGTACAATCTTGTCCTCCCAGGGCCCGATCCCTTCCATCCAGACAGCACTCTTGTACAGTAGGGAGCTGAATCTCTGTAGATTTGGGAAGAGGGCGCAGGGATTAGAAATAGACAGCTGAGACGTGATGGAAAAAATAGCATGGCTGCCCCCCGAGTGCCAGTGTCTGAGTCAGATTTAATTAAAATGAGCTCACACTCTGACAGGACATTGAAAATAGTAGCCTGCAGGATCTCACATTAGGGTATAACATCCCCCAAATGAATAAATAAGTGCGTAAAAGTGGTTCAAATCACCAAACCAACATGGTCTCAAAGCGGATTCAAATTACGCAGCTCAGTGCCAAACTTTTGCGCACTTACCTTGTCCATGCAGAACTCCATACAAAGAAAACAAAAGTAGTGTCCACTGTGCCATCGGAGTTTCTTCTTAATATTTCCTCCTCTGATCGTCCTTATATTAAACGACTGAGCTGATCGGCGGCTGAACTGCAGCAGTGGACTCTGTGTATGTGCGCGTCTCCTGTGTGAAGGCGCACCGTCAAACAGCAGAACATCTCAGTCGAAGCAGCCGGAGAGGAGACACAGATTGTCCCTGTGAGGGTTGAGATTAGAGGGTGGTGAGGGCGGGGTGGAAGGAGCTGTGTTTAACTGTCAGTCTGGGCTACTGAATAATTCAAACACGACAGATAATTGGATTTATTTGACGCGACAATGCGCCAACACTGGGCGAGTCCAAAGTAGATGTTGACAGGGAAGGAGATAAATAACACCGGAGAAGAAAAAGTGCAAAAAGCGCCTAAGACAGTTAAAAAAACAAATTAAAAACCAAATAAATGTAAAGTCAGTGTGGCCTACAAAGTGTTTTTTCCCCTTATTTGACAGTGCCTGGTTGAAATTTCAAAAAGCAAAAACTTTAGATGGAAGTATGAAAACTTTGTGTAGCTTTAAAACTGTGAATTCTCTCTGATTTTAAAGCTCTCATAAGTACAAAGAAAAATTAGTGGTTGGTTCCTGTCATTGTATGGAGGTGTTCTAATATTTCTACATGTAGCCTAACTGTGAATCTTTTGTGTGTTTGTTGTGTGGTTGTTTGGCTGTGACTTTTTTGTATGCAGCTGTCAAGGCCAGGTCAAAGAGATGGTTGATCTCAACAGGATTTACCTGGTTAAACATGGGTTAAATTTACGAGAAGAAATACATTTAATGATTTACTTTCTTCTTAAAGTGACAAGGTTTGTTTAAACTTAGGCTATCATTATGAAGTAGACCTTAATGTTGACTGCACAATGTAGGCCTACTGGATACAAAATAATGACACCATCAACATTCAGACTGGTTACCCATAAGCCTCACTTTCACAATTCTGTCTACCACCATATGATACTCCAGGAAAATGAAGGCTGGATTTACAAGGAAGTGTTTCAACCATTGCCAACACATTCTCACTCCGACCTTGTCACATATTGACATTTGGTCATGGACTTTCCAAATCCACATATGACGTGCAAGTTACCCTGGGTGCGTTGGTTGTTGAAGTTCTGGGATGCCGTGTCAAGTTCTGCCTGTTACATGCATTGTCTTCTTTCAAAATACACTTCTATTTTCACAGGAAATTTAACATTTACATACAGTCTCTCTTAAAATAACCGCACTACGTTGGTACAGCACTTCAAAACGATGCTTCAACAACAAACACACGTTTGGGTTTAGGCAACAAAAGTACGTCCGCATTTTCAATTCAAACATCAAGTCCGTCTTGCTTTATGGGGCAGAAACATGGAGAACCTCAAAAGTCACCACCAACAAACTGCAAGCCTTTCTAAACAGATGTTTAAGACACATCCTGGGATTATACTGGTCAAATACAATAACAAATGAAGAGCTCTGGCAAACCACACCAACAAGAACCACTTGAAACAGGAAATGGGGCTTGATTGGGCACACCTTGAGGAAACCTCCCACCAACACGACCAGACAGTCCTCATCCTGGAACCCACAAGGGGAAAAGACAGCCAGGAAGACCGAACAACACCTGGGGAAGGTCTGTCAAGGCAGAACTCAAGAACATCCTGGAAGGAAGCACAGAAGATCGCCCAACACCGAACCAGCTGGAGAAAGTTTGTGAATGACCTATGCTCCCCAAGGACCAAAAGGGTTTAAGTCAAGTAAGTAAGTCAACAAAAGCATGTGGTTAGGTTTAGGAAAAAAGAACAGGGTTTGGTTTTAGAATCTTACGGGATGTGAACACCGCTCTCTCGGGTGAAGGTCGGCATTTGCTGGACCCATCCACCACCCCTCCCGCCTGCCCCAGTCAGACTTTCCACGCCTTAACTTTCGTACCTGTCCCGGCATATAATGGCAACTGGCCGCGTATCATGCCGACGTTAAAGGATGGCTTTTTTTGTCGGTCTCATGTGCCACAAGTCACTGTCCAAGCACAGATTCCGACGACTTTGGAGTAAGACCAGGCTCCCATTGCGCAACCAAAGCAGAAAGAAGATGGCACTTTTGTTTTCCATAGTAGCTATCAGTGGCTATCCCCAGTCACCAAAGAGTATCAACATAAGTTCTTAACCCTGTAGGGGAAATGGCAGACCAGCGTAATCTCTAATTCGTGAAATGCCCACAACCTCTCAACACCTCATAACATGGTGGTTACTCAGCCGAGTTCAGGCATCAAAACGTCTCGGTAAGATTTAGAAGGTTTAGATCCTGTCTTCAGTTCAAATAAGTGTGTTTGTTACATATAGGTTGGCATGGCTGAGTTTAAACACCAAAAGTATTTCATTTGGTATTAAAATAACATTGTTTTCAGTTAAAATAACTATGATTGTTACATAAAAGACACAAGAATGTTGTCAAGAGATGTAAGTACATCACATAACATGACGTAACTATGTAAAACTAGTCCAGCTATGGGGTCCAGATTTCTCCTAAGTCATTAGTTTAAGGTCTGCACTATTTAATACATTCAGCATCATACTTGCATTTGGCCATGTTGTCGAGCTAGTTTGCCGTTTCTGTCAAGTAGCTGTCCGTTATTCACTCACTTGATAGCGGGAAATGACACTTCAAAATAAAAACTAGACATGTTTGTGAGTCACTTGCGGTCAATTCGGAGTGGACCCACGACCCACAAGTTGAGGAACCACTGATGTAAAAGATGTAAGAGCATAAAGTTAAAGGAAGTTATTGCTGACTTTTAGTTTCAAACAAAACGCAGTCGACTCCCAAGTAAAAGTCCTATGTTTGTTTGACCCATCCACCACCATGACCTACTCTCTACGTGGACTTTCTTGCTCTTAATTCTACCTATGGGTTTGTAACATTAACCACCGCCCACTGCGTGATGTCATTAACCCAGGGAATTTGTGTGTCCATCACAACAAAGACTCCTAACTGACTTTTTCTTTGCACTGTTTCTGTGCTGCCTGCACTTCACGAGTGTTAGGAGGCCATAGTCATTTTGTAAATTTCTGAGACTGGGTTGGGTGAACAGTGGAACAACTGAGGTAACTGTGGAAAACTAAAGACAGTGTGTCCCATGTTGCTGGTAGTTGCTAGGGCTCTGATGAAAATGGAAAGCAATGCAACAGCAAAGCTAACAACAATACACACTGTAACCACTGGGAGGGGAAATGTTGTTGGTTTCCACTTCAATCATCTTGTCACCCATTTTGGGGGTTCAGATCTCGTTAGAGAACCACTTAGTTTTTACAGTGTGCAGCATCTTACATTAAAAAAAGACCACAGATGACAATGGTGGGAGCAAAGCAAAAGTCAGAGCTACATCTAACCCTGTTTATTACAAATATTGTAAATGCAGGTATTTTTTAATGCTCAACATTGTTCGCAGAGTTCATTTACAGGTCCTGTGTATCTTCAATAAATAATAAAAGCAATGATATTGTACAAAATTCTCAATATTGAAGCTGAAGTGTCAAGTTTTGGACTAACTCGTCTCTCCTCAAATGAGCTGATGGCCATACAGGAGGGTTTAGTGAAGTGAAAGAGGAATTTTCTTCTTGCTGAAACAATAAGGCTTTATCTTAAGTAAAAGTAATCATGCTGTAGAAGGGCAAGGACACAGTTTGGGAAAAAGCGTCGTTGTCAGAGGCTCATGATGAGAAAGTGATAATCATGTCTCCGAGTTATCTAAGAGTGATAACAGTACAGTCTGAGGAATTGTTCTCCTGATAAAAACCAACAAGGCTGCTGTATGATAAAACATTGTTGGGATTTGGGGGGATAAGAGGCCTCAAACTGGCATCACGAATATAATCACAGTCGTGGCAATTCATTTTTGTTCTTAAACAACTAAGCAGCACATTATTAATGCCATTTTTTACATACAGCAGCCTTATATGTTGCATACATAGCATTAATACAATACTAATAAAATAAAAAAGTACACTATTGCAGTAAAACCATTTGTTTAAGAGTTAAATGGCTAGTACAAGTGAGCCAAAGTCTATGAACACAAAAATGGAGGTGTTACTATCTATATTAAGACATCTTGCATGCATTACTAATCCCAAATCTTGTTTTCTTATCTTGATGATAATAACTTACATATGATCCTATCAACACAGAATATCGTTTGTGTGCTTTTCGGTGTAGTCGTCACAGAAAATAACGTTCTATGTTACAGTAAAATTGTAACTTCTGTCCAGCAAAAACACACTAAAAAAGCTTATTTACTCCCTTTGTTGTGCATCTACAGCATGACTGCTACTAAATACGTATTTAGTAAAGCAGTACATTTTTCCTATTGCAAATATAACATGTTAGAAAAAATTGTCTGATTGCAGCAAATGTCGGTCCCCACTGGGGCCACTTCTGTGGAAGACTGAAATCATCCATCTTGTCTACAGTTTCTCTCACTTGTCTATCCCTCCTCCTCCTCTTTGGCTGGCTCAGGAGGAGCTGACTCCTTCTCCTGGGCTTCAGGCGGATCCACAGTCGTGTCCGTAGGGAGCTGTTGGCTCTCCTCTTTCGGGGAGCTGGGAGCTACTTTGTCTCTCGTTTTGTTATCAGCATCTGGAGAGCTCTCCGTGACCTTCACAGGAGTCTCCTTGTCCTGCTTCGCCCCCTCTGCAGGAAGCGCTTCTCCCTCAGCAGCTGCTGCCTCCTCATCCATCCATTTTTCACTGGCATCCGTCGCCTTCTCCTCCGTTTCTAACTTTTCCTCCTCTGCCAGGGCTGTCGCTTCTTCCAGAGGAGGCAAGTCTTCCTCCACAGGGGGGATTCCTTTTTCTGCAGGACTCTGCGGTTTATCGTCATCGATGGGAGCCATGCCTTCATCCATCATCTCTTCCTCCTCGTCTATCTCGTCCTCCAAAGGCGGGATCATCTGCTCTTCCCTCCCTCCAGGGAAGACCTTATCTGGGTAGACGAGTTTCAACTGTTCCTCAAAGTAGTCCTCCAAGTACAAGCCGGCGCTCCCCACCTCTGACGTCGCCTGTACACAGAAATAGAAGAGAAAATTAAAGAGCATGAACGCATGATAATTCATCTTAAGTAAAACTCAACTTTAGGTTCAAGAAAGCAATGATTTTGAAGAAAAATGGTTAATATAACAAAAGAGATGTTTCATATAAAGTGCTGTTTACCTTGTAGTACTTTGCACAGTTGAAAAAT